CAAGTATACAAATTTTGTTTGAAATGTAAAATGATTAAGTATTAAGTATTATATTTTTTTTTCGTAGAATCTCTATTTTATTTATAAGCTCAAAAACTCTCAAATATATTTCAGAATCATATCTATGCCTTAAAATCACAAAACTGTTAAATCTAATTTTTATCCAATTGGATTTATTTGTACCACTTAACACGTGGACAAAGGCGTACAGCATGCATACATCAGAGTTCATTAGAGTTAAATTCTTAAGTTTGAATATAATTAGGCAAGTGTACGATGTGCAAATGTAATATGTTTGCATTATAAGTAACAAATCCTTCCTCTCCCTTTTTTTCCAAAGCTACATTCAGTGGATGTAATTCTTCTGTATTAAAAGGTATCCATAAAACGTACCAAAAAAGCATGATAACAATTACTTAAATATAAAATATGCATATAAAAATTGTTTAAATTTGCATAAAACATACTTATTGATAAAAATAAATATACAGCACAAAAATAAAACTAAATGCAGATAAAGAATTTTAGATAAAAAAAATTTGCTTTCTTTTCCCATCTGATAAACAAAAGTAAAGGAGTAAAAGCCTCTTACCTTGCCCCGCGTGCTTACATTTGTGATCTTGTTTTGCGCTCAGTTCGTATTGTGTTTCTGAAAATGGCCTTGTAAATTATGGTGTAATGTGATAAATGTAATATAGATAAAAAAAAAATGAAAGGAAATGCACGTTATCGCTCTGAAAATACCTAGTTGATACCTAGATCCTTGAAATCTATAGAAATAATTGAACACACACCTCCCAATTCTTATGGAAGTTTTTTTCAAATTTTAACTTTTAGAATTAACTTTAAAATAAAAAATTTTACTATAAATTTTAAAATTAAATTTCAGTACAAAATCTCATCTTTAAACTACATTATTCAGCAACTGGAAGTATGGAGCAAGAAATAAGTCACTTAACCTCTTAATGCATTTGATGAAAATTAGAAAACAATATTTTTATTAGTTTTTATTAATTACTTTTATATACAATGGTACAGAAATACATTACTATAATCAAATTCGTACTCGAAAGGAAAGGATCAGCATTTACAAATTTGTATTTAAACCTTAAGAAATTACATAAAAATTTGCTATCGGAAACAAAGCACAAATAAAAAAAAACTTGTAGCTCAAAATTTAAAAAAGCATGATCACAATTTGTGATCAAAAGAATAAAAGTGCTGAAATCGGGTACTCCAAAGTATGAGAAGATTATTCACACAATAATTTCTAGTCTAAAGAATAGAAGAAAATACAAGCAAAATATTTTCCACAAATTATATAAGTTCACAAATTTCTGAAAGTTTAACTTTGTACTAAGAAGCAACACGGTGAATATTGGCAAGGACCTCAATTTTGAAACTTGGTCAAATGACACCTGAGCTGCTTCTCCGAATTTGCATACGATGCCAAAGGGGGATACTCGGGACATTTATCAAATTTAATCACACATCAGAACTGAACCCTTGTTTAGTAGCTTCGGTTTCGTCCAAAAGTTCTTTTAATGTAATATCACATACCAGATATATTTTGAATATATTCCGGAGATTATGTCTTTGAAATGCGTATTTACTACAATTTAAAAGAACATGCTATAAATCGTTGATACTGTACAAATACTACGCATTGCATTTCTTAGTAGGTTAAATTTGTGTAAAGGCCTGGAGTTATGATCATTTTACAAATTATTTGAGTGCTCAGAATTTTCTTTCTTTGTTTCTTTGTCCAATTAAATATTTAATATATGGCTGGCATCATGACCTCAAGGCACCCTAGTGATCTTTTTCTTTCCAATTGGGTTTACTGTCTTTGGTAAACACGAGTGAAGCAACTCGAGTTACCCTAGCAATCCTTCTCTGTTTTCGATCCTCCTTCTTGTCAACCAATTTTTTTTTTATTATTATTATTAATTTTTTCATGTCTAGACCACAGTTACATTTTGTTTGGCGCAACTTAGCCACATCTGGCTCTTGAGCCAATATCTTTACTTTCAATAAATCACTCAATTAATATATGGCTGTAAAGTTCTCTAAGGCTTCAAAGTTCTTACTTGAATAAAAGTTTTCATTGGTTCTTTTCATTCTGTTTCGGAGGCCGTGGTAGCCTAGTGGTCATGGTTTCGGATTCGCAGCCATCAGTTTTCGTTCAGTCATGGGTTCGAGCCTTGGCCGCTAAAGACCCTCCATGTAGCTGGGGCTGATGCACGTAAAATCCGTTGGGGCCCAAAGTCCTCCCCGTTGGCGTAGAAGTTAGGATAGGGATGCTAGTTCAGGTGTCTTCCTCGTCATTTGATCGAAGTTCAAAATTACGAGATCCATCGCCAATACCCCTCATGTTGCTTCTAGTGCGACGTTAATAAATACCAAACTAAAAATTTTCATTTGTTTTCTGTAAATATTATTATTAATATCTTCCGGGACAATCTAGCATTGGACTCCGTCACCGACATTAGTTTAATTGAGGGGTATATTTTAGAGTTTTGAAATGCTCTGATTAGATATTAAGTTAAAGGATATCATTGAATGTTTTCCTACAGCGTATATAAATTAAATGTATTACTAAGGACTTTTGTACCAAATGCATTCTACATCTATTTGTTGTTCATCCCAATTGTATTCGCATTTAAATAATTATAATTAATAGGCAAACATAAATATGAATTTCTAGAGTTATTTAATTATTTGGTCAAGGAAATATATTGTATTAAAATTTAGTTGTGTGTTTTAATTATCAAGAAAAATTTGCTCAAATATGTTTCTTTCTTTTATATCAGAATTTTATATAAATTTTCTAAAACAGAATTCTTCATTGTATAGCTCAAAAGTATTTTCCTTTTGCTGACCTTAAAGGCTTTACTGGGACATTGTTTGATTCGAGAGCCTTGACTTGTGAATTACATAAATTAGCTTTAATGCTGCAGTGTATAAAATGGGCGATTAGTTAAGAGGAAGGATGAAGATCAGAAGAAGAGAGAGAGGGAGAAAGGAAGACTTTGCGGTAGCTGAGATTAAAATCAAATTCGTTCCTGACTCGGAACCATCTTTAGAGCCATCTCATATAAATTACTATTTTTGATAATATGCTGTACAGAACGCGTCAATTGCACAGCTCCATTCTTGTAATAATTGAATTTTGTACTATTTTAGGCCTGTAATGAATATAAGTTGGATCTTTTGTATGGGAAATTTATTAAGTTATGTTGGCTGAAATACGTGACAGTAGTGAAGCCGGGGTGTTATAAGTCAATTTAACCTACAGGATTCAGCTTCAAAGGACAAGAAAGAACTCTTGGAAAAAATAAAAATGCCTTCTTTTAACTTGATTCACTCAAATTCGGAAATATTTCCTTCAATTAATCCAATTTCCTTATTAAAAGCTTTGACAAAGCTCTTCATCAGCCCTGATTTCTTTTGAAGTGAAGGCAAAAAAAACTTATTTTGATGACACTGTGATATATTTAGTACAGTTTCCTCTCTAATCACATAAGATTTCTTCTCAGGCCAGTCTTTGATTATGTAGTGGTTTTTTTGTACCTCAGCTGTTCCAAAAACATAAAAAAGAGGGTTTAAAAACCACCCTAAAACATATCAACAGTGCAATAACTTTAAAATCACAGCAATTGTGCCAATCACACTCATGATCTTTATATTTGACTCTTTCCAGCAACAAAGCTATGTTTTTATAAGTTTCACACATAAACATTGCATGAGCCAAAGATTCTGATGGGAGTTTGTTGTCATACTGTATCTCTATTTTCAGACTAACTTTAAAGGAATCTTTCGGAATTCTCGAATCTTAAGGACAGTGCTCAGTGCTTAGGGAAACCATAAATTATTTCCCATCTATTTAGAAACGCATCGAATTTTTCATTTCAAAAAATTCCGAGGAAGTCATATTTTTAATTCTAAACTTGAAATACTTTCTACTTTTAGCTAGTAGATTCCATTGATGCAATATAGGAACTAACAAATGTGCTTGTTGTTTAGAAATTTTCAAATCACGAACCAAATCTTTCAATTCATTCTGCCCCATTAAGTGTGTTAGGTGACTAGGTATGAGATTCAAGAATATTCTCTTCAGTATAATGTTCACTTTCGCCTGATCCCTGTTCAATTGTTTTCAAGTTACAAGCAGTAATAGGTAAACTTTTATCCATAAGGCAAAGATTTAAGCACTGAAGAAACATCCGGATACTTGATTTTATGTTTCATTTTAATGAGGAAAAAATGAGTTTTTTCCATCTATATAGTTCTTTTTCGCATCAACATAAGTAAAACACTTTTAATTCAAATTCTTGATTACTATAATATGTAACATAACGATGCTATAATACATAACATAACGAGTTTCGACCTTCACAAAAATTCTTCAGCCGCCAACGAGATTTGAACTCGCGACCTTTGGTTTACGAGACCAACGCTCTAACCACTGAGCTATGGCGGCTACGAGCAGAACGAATTAGTCATGAAAGATTTTTTAACAAAAATTTTGAAGAAAAGCATAATCGCAAATCCAACAGTTGAACATAACAAGACTATGCCAAACAAATATATTAATTCTGAATAACAACCACCACATACATAAAATAATATCTAACTGTTTGAAATATTGTAAATGGGAACGAAGAATTGTGGCAAACAGAGCACAAAAAGTAATACCTACTGCCTCCAACGAAATTCAAACTTACAAACTTTAGTTTAAAACACCAACAATTCATCCTTTGAGCTTAGGTGGCTTCAGAAGGAACAAAATAAAAAAAAATGAAGCGGTAAAAAAAATTTCAATTACGACATTATCATATTGACAGATTATATAACAACGCGACATTTAGAAGCAAGACGAGGGCAAATAACATACGGAATCTAATTCATATCGTAAATGAAAAAATTTAGTAAGCGAAGCTTAATAAAATTAAGCAAAGCAACAAAATTTATATGTGCATCCAAGTTGACATTCTTGCAGCCACCAACGAGATTCGAACTTGTGACCTTTGGCTTACAAGACCAATGCTCAAGCCTCTGAGCTACGGTGGTTACTGACAACTAGCATTTACTACTGAAAGCATTTTGAACAAAAATTATGAAGAAACTATCAAATCAAAAATATGAATATAACAAGAATATATCAACCGAATTTATTCGAATTGGTAATTTGTGGCTTACGAGTCCAATGTTGTATATTGTGAGATGTAACACAAAGAAATTAGAAGAAATTGAAATATTTAGTAAGAGAGAAAAACGTAGATATAAGACATTACAAGCTATTTATGAAGCACCTAGTATAAAATCCTTAAAAATTTTAATATTTCAAACAATATGAACCGTCAATAAACTGCAAAAAAATAGGCACATTAGCCTACGGAGATCACAACCTCAAAAGGTGGTAAAGTAAATCTCATTTAAAAAGAAAAGAATAAACACCAAAACATATAACTCGGAACAGAAAATTTCGAGAATGATAAGAAATTTATATGAAACAACAGTGTGGAGTAACCTAAAGAAAACCGAAACAAGATATATGAGAGGTGCCTACAGCCCGCAAGAAAAAACGGAAAAAAATTTAAAAGGAATACCCCCATCAAAATACAAATACTCTTTCAAATAAAATTTTTCTTTCATCGAATTGTTCTAACCATTCTTGACAAATTACCTCCCTTCAGTTAATGAATGTTCCTTGAAAAATTGATGGAGTCCTAAATTTTGAGAGTCACATACAAAGCAATTTTCTGTCATCAATAGTGTAGGTGAAGACACTCTTAGTTCAAAAAACTCTCCCGAAGCAGGACAAGTTGCAAAGGGGAAGATAAACGTGGAAAGGTGTCCATTTAAGATTCCTCGGTCAAGTAGATTGTACATTTAAGTGATGTAGATATTGCGGACACTTGTTACTTCAAGAAAGACTCCTCTCTCAAAATCTTAAGCAACTCTATAACGGGGGTGATTATTAAAAGGAAAACCCTAAATTCTAGACTATGGAAACTGTTATCAAATATAATTGGAAAAAATGTTTCGTTCAAGGGTCTTTTAAATAAAAAATAAAATAAAATAAAAAAAAATCGAGGAAAGAATAATTGAAATTACATTATGTCAGAACATCACAAAATTCGAAATTATGTTTATTATCTTATGACAGCAAAGTTCTTAAGTGTATCACACAACCACGAATTACATAAAATTATCTCTAATAGCTTGCAATATTATCAATAATACCAATTTAGAAGAATAACTGTTAAGAAAACTGCATGCAAATATATTTGTAAATATACTTTCGCAAACGAGATTCGAAAGCACAACTTCTGGTTTAGGACAAAAACGATCTATCCTTTGAGCGTCGGAGCCAGAATGAAGTTTAGTCTCTTTAGCAGTAAAAGAACATTAATACTGTAATGATATTATTACTGTACCATATATTGATCGATTGTTTGTAAATGTCACAATTTGAAGAAACACGAAGGCTATTAACATAACGTTTCTAATTGAAATCAGAGATGATGAAAATTAGGCTACGAAAACGTTTTATGCTTAAACAAAAAAAAGCAAATTTTAATTGTCGGTATAAACATGTATTTTTGTTGCCGCTAACAAGATTTGAACTCGCGACATTTGATCTATGAGACCAACTCTCCAGCCTTTAAGCCAAGAGAGAGTGAGCCACTCCAAATAAAAACATTTTCCATTAGGATTTTCATATATGGAGTAGTTAGCAGTTACATACTCTTGGAAATTGAGACATATTGTGAGAAACACAAGATAAAGATATAAATTTTGTGAAATAAAACATTATAAAAGTTAAGTTCAGGATAAAATATGTAATAATAAGTTTATACCTACAAAATAAAATGTATGGAAAAATATCAATGCTACTTAAAGAATGAAAAAAAAATTTAATAAAGTTTTCCCTGAGCTAGTCAATTAAGGATAATAAGTAATTCGAAATGCTTAAAATGAGCAGTGTTAAAAACATATCTTTCCTTCATGATGTGCCTTACAGTCAGTCGGCAAAAATGATGAATGCACATTAGTGATTTTCATACAAAGTGGTATGTTTATGTGTATATCTGGAGTGTCCAATCCTTGGATGTATTAAAATGATTGCCTATCATTAGATATTCCATTAACTTAAAAAAAATAAAGAAACTTTCGAATATTTCGAATTAATTTAAAATATAAAGGATTAATTCCAGTTATCCTTCCTTAATAATAAAACATATCATACAATCTGGGAATGGGCGTTGACAAAGAACATTCAAACCAGTTGTAATTTGAATCGTCGCCTTCACATTTATATTCGAAGAAAATATTTTAAAACAGCATCCAAGATTCAAACTCGTGACCTTTGATTTACGAGACCATCGCTTTATCCTCTGAACTAAATCGATTGGACCCTTCGCTAAATGAAAAACCTTTTGGTCAGATATTTAACAAATAGAAAAAGAATGTATCGAATATTGTTAAACTCGTGAAAATAAAAAAACTAATATCTGTCAATAATTTAGGATAAACATTTTTTTATTTAAGTGAATGCCCAGCAATACAAATAAGGCAAGAATAACAATAATTATCATAACCTTTATGCTGTCGCTACTCACTTGGAAAAGTAAATTGCTTACTTTTGAGGTTTCAATTCGTTCATTCAGCAAAGGTAGTTGTACAGGTTATGCACAAAATTTGAGGGGTCCATTTTTAATCTATAGTACCAAGATCACAATCAAATTTTATCTATGTTACGAAAACCATAATTTGCCTTTTTAATTGACTCAGTAATTGATTATCTGCGTTTCTTTGAAATAAACTAGCTTCAGAAATATCAGAAATTATTAGGGTAACTCATGCTATCACTTCAAAACTTCACCAGCTCCCACCAGACAATTCAATTAAAACTAAAGAACGACGAAACAAACAAAACAATTATATAAATGAACAAATCGACTGACACCATACTCGGTTCAATATGTATTCATACTGCTCTGGTGCGCGTTTCATTTTACAAGGCTGTTGCTGTCAAGTGATTATTGATATAAAAGTTTCTCATTCGATAAATATAGTTATTCGCTCAATTGTTTCGTATAATTATTCATTTCACATCAAAATAAAATTTAAAATCTGTATAGTTATTCACATTTCGTTATTATTTTGTTGTGTAAAAATATTTAAAAAAAAAATATGAAAAATGTATATTTAAAACAGCAGTTTTGAAATAACTCAAAAGTCTTGCTTGTTAGGACTTTTGAAAGGATATTTCAGATTCTACACGAAAAAAAAAAACCTAAGAAATTTTTTTATTTCAAATCAGATGCAAAATGTCTGTTTATTAATTATATTAACTATTCACAATGTGTTTATTTAAGTTAATTAAAGCATTTATGCATGTTATTCTAATACTTTGAAATTGTGTGACAATTTTTCTATTTTTTAAATTTTGAGCAGAGATTCATTCGAAAAAATTTAGAAATATCTTCCTGGTTTTTTTATGCTTTGTTCTACATAATATGTAGAACGTGATACTTTACTTTAAAATTCCGAAGTGTTCATTTTGCCAAAATAAATGCAAATCTCAATGTACTCTCTGCTTTATTTTTCACTGTTCTAATATTTAGATCTAGAGCTGTAAAAGATCTGAAATAGGTTTGTTATTCATTGCTTTGAAATTTACATTTCGATTCATAATCAAAGATGTTATCGATTATTAGAGAAATGCAATTTTCATCATGATATTGTGAACTATGAGGCATTTGAAAGAAAAAAATGTTCCTAAGTATTAGCCAGTTACATTGCTTGATAATAAAAACGGTTCCAAAGTCGAAACATCGAAGAAAATGCATATATTTTATTATAACGTAATTTAAACTATCTGTAGCTACTATTGTATATAGTAAAAATAATTATACTCTGAAACATTATTAGCTATTAAGTTTTCCTAACTGATTTGAATTCTGAAATAAAAGAATAACCGTATATCTTAGTATTCTAAATCTGTAACAAAATGATGACTATTTTTCTTTTTAATTGGTTTTGAATAACATACTAAGTTGAATTTCCCCCCATTTTTATTTAATTAAAAACTTAATTACTTAACAAAAAACTAACAACATTTAAAAAAATTATGTTTTATTAAATCTTCAAATTCAAAATAAATTGGTTAATGTTTCTACAATTCATTCTGATAGATTGATGTGCAACATTAAAACTGACCATAAATTTTAAATCAGATTTGATAGTTCATTCTGATGAATTACTAATACATTCGATATTACTTAAGAAACTACATAGAATCAGATTGAAGAATCACAGTTAACATCACTATACATTCAATTTTGAAAGACACTACATCTCTTTCAGATATCCCGTGCACAATTATGCTTAGAACATGTATGAAAAGTATACATAAGCTAGTAAATATTAGCGTGCACCTGAATGAACATATTTGTGTAAAATTCATGCTAGTTCAGATAATTACTGTAAGAAATACTATATTGAATATGTGGCCCTCTCTCCCCCTATTTTATTTGTTTCTTCCCAAAATTGAGTGTTACTAATATTTTTCTGTATAACTTCTTTAAATGCTAAGTAAATTTAATTGAATAAATACATTTTGTTAGCTGCGTTACATGCATGTAAAAATATAAAATAATCAAAAATATAAAATAATCAAAATCTGGTGATAATAATAAATAAAATTCGGATATGTTTTTCTTGCACAAAATGAAAAAATTATGTCCTGATAGCTTTACATCAAAAAAAGAATTTTTTAAACATTCTTTTGTCAGAATTATTATCACTATTTTAATTTTAGTATTGTTATAATTATTTTCATTTATTATTTTTGCCTTTTTATTTTATTGATGTATTAAATATAGTTATATAACTAATACACCATAGTTAAAAAATTCAACGCATCCATCTGTCTATAAGTATATAACTTATTTCCATTGTTGAGAAATAAATAAGTCTAGAAAAAGAGAGTTGTGAGTTTAAGAACGATACCGTCAAATTGCATTTAATTTAAGAATACGAATGATCCATCTCATTCTAAA